TTTCTAATTAATCCAATCAGCCCTAATCCGGAGTTGTTAATTCAATCCATATTACTCGTTCATGAAGCTGTCCGATTTTCACTTTATATCACAGTTGAAATCAAATTTTTCCTGTTCCCACCCTCTTTTTCAAAACTATATTTTCTTGATAACCACAAGTTATTAGGGTATACTCTCAACTTTTCAATTTAAAAAAACCTTAATAAGCCCTTTAGCTCATTAAATACTTTCGAGATTCAAAAAAATTATATTGGCACGTGAACGAAATGTTTCAAAACTGCTAGCTTTAGCTTCATCTTCCTATCTTCCTAATGCTTCATCTCAATCTCTTTCTTGCAGCCAGATCCATCTACTGACACACCTAATGTATGTTCTCAGAAAATAATCTCTCAAGCCACTCGTTTTCGTGGTCGGCGAACTAATTCTTCCTCCCACCTCATCTCGACACCTGCATCCAATACCTACACAAGCTCACTGACTTCCTCTATCGCTTCTTCGTCACCTGAAACTCGATCTCTAAATCAACCAGCCAGTGAGGCTTCATTTCCCTCTCTTTCATGTCTGGCTGATTGTCTTTCCGACAAGGCAGCCTCTCAGATCTCACTCGTTTCTCCGCTTGAAGACGAGTGCCAATCAGGAACTAGCAATAGATGGGATGCCACTGATGACGTCGAGGCAGATGACTCTGAGAAGACTAATATTGTGAGAATATCGACAGAACAACAGGATATGCCAGATTGGTTAACTGCATGTCGAAGTTATGTACCCCCTGTCTGCCAGGGTTTGCAAACCGTATTTGAGTGGCCTGAAGATGGAATTGATGGGCTGAAAACTGCAGAATCCGTAAGTCAGCAGAAAAACAGAAATGGCAGAGGGGGGCGGGCGCGAGGCACATGCGTCGAGGTCAGACAGTACACGCGAGTTCGACGACAAGCAACTGAGAAAACTGGGACTGAAAATAAAGGCCAACCTACTTGTGAAGGTATGTCTGCACACAGTAGTATGTTGCTTATTTGTGTGGGAATTGCGATTGTTAGTTCAATTTTCTTGCTCTATTTTATATTTATTTTCATTTTCTATTA